TGTAAAGTAAATTGTACAGCAGTTATTGTACGAGCGAGCCTCAAGTCTGAGCCGAAACAGGAGCTCAAATGTTTTAGTGTGACTATCTTGGCCGCTATTATTGATGTGTGCGTTGTAGGTTGAAGAGCTCCAAGGGAAAAGCACAATAATAAAGCAATGATTTACGTACTTACCACGACTTTCCAATGCAATTCAACGCAAAATTATAACCTTAGCAACTATCCAATATGGCTGCCTCGATGGTCCGTCTCGTCCACGTGATAGCGAATGCGTGTGCCAAAAAAACTGTTTAGGGTACCCCTAGTTGCGAACATTTCGGCTTCTCATAAGACGTTGCAAAATTGCGACTTATTGTTAATTTATTTATTATTAGACCATACAAACATTAATTGTGATTTATTTTATTCTTTGCACTTGCTGATTGGAGCGAGTTCGAAGTTTATTTGGACTTTAATTAAGACGAACGGGGGAGGGGTGGTGAGGAACATCACAAATCACTTCCGGTCCGATTTACTTCCGTCTACAAAACGGGTCTACAAAAAGTGTCTACAAAAAATGTCTACAAAAAGTGTCTACAAAAAGAGTCCACATCTTGGCCCCTCACAATACTCATTCATTGTGCAAGCACATGAATGAGCTAAAAAAAAGTGTCTGAAGAGAACGTCTGAAAAAGGCTTTAGATGATCTTAGAACATAATAGGTAGGGAGCCTGTTTGGAGTGCACCTCTCGACAGAGCATTTGTTTTTTTAAGTTAACCACCTATACATAGACTTAATTTTTAACAAACTTTATGTTTCTGGGAAGCTTTCTTCCCAAGAAAAGACGTTATGCACACTACAAATCGTTTCACTAAAACTCTGCGAGTTTACTTCAAAGATCACTCCTCGAATCGGTTTAAAGTGATCTCGTCCTTTAGCACCACAAAGTAAATACTTAAAGTACTTTAGATATCTTGATAATACAGGAAGCCCTGATGTAATAATATCAACGATAAATAGTGCAATGACATCTTAAACTTTACATTTCTATTGAAGTAATTCGCGCTCTGTTCGAAATTACAGAATGTCGAAGCTGAACCGCATTCGCAAATGACTCAAAATGACAATACCATTTTCCCTCTCCACCGTCGCCACTGTCGTGTTTCCTTCAAAACGTAACTTCATATCAATACGAAAAAGTCAGTGTGATGGTATAGTTGATGAATTTAACTCGTGATTCAAAGGAAGGTAAAAGTGCTTGATGTCATTCTCTATCCTACACGGGGGGTACCTACTGCAGTATATGTTATGACTTTTCTTGTTCATTCTTCAGCGAGAGCGTATGTTTATTTTCCGTTAAGTCACTCGCATCTGTTTCTAAACCCAGGATACGTTGTGGTGTAATTTTATCCGTGATTTTGTTTGTCAGTTTCAGTCATATATCAAACATTGCCGTACCTAACAAAAAGGAAATAAATAAAGAAAAAAACGAAAAGAGGGCAAATAAATTTTAAACCAAAGATTAATTGGAACCTCACCGTACGTATCCCATACAACTGTACAACAACCTTATACACCTTTACAAAATGTTTGTCACTTTCACAACCAACACTTTTGACAACTTAGCCCCGTTATTGTAATAACGGTCTAATGTCGACCATAACTGTACTGTCTATTTTTTGACCTTGGCCTTGATCCGTACTAATTGATTGGATTGACAGGGAGTCTTCCATATAAAGGTATTGAATAATCAGGTAATGACACGAAATGCCAGTCACATCACGTTTCATGACTTGCTGCCTATGGCCACGCACTTTCTGTCCCATTCCGGGGTATTAAGCGACGATAACATAAAGTCTGCAACATCGGCTCTTGGTATGAACCATGACGTGTTTGGGACAATCTGCCCTTCTTGTACTGAGTAATCTCCTTTGGCCGGATCTGAATGAGGAGATAAAGCCTAATGAATCTCGTGCAATGAGGAAATACACATTTAGCCTCAAGTGGTATTATCTTTTATCATATGACTAGTTCCGCACTGACTAATTCGTTGGGCTTTGAAAATATTGTGGATTTCTTCCTATTAGACACCTAATGAGCTCGTAACTTCCCTCATCCCAAATTTTCAAAGAGACAAAAGAGTCGATCAGCCCAGTAGAAGGAATCGTTGTACCTTATTCTGCCGGAGACAGACATTGACCTATTGACCCCCTCCCCCCATTACTCCTTGTCCCCACTCTACCTGACAGTCATCTGGTAACAATTTATACTCCAGGGTGGAAAAAGTGAATAAAAAAGTTATGGGATAAAGAGAGCCGGGCAGGACTTACACCTAGACCCCTCGACTCCAGATTCCGCGAATCGTCAGGCCTAAAAACAACAACTGCAAATCGTAGATCTAATTATTTTATTCACCATTCTTTAATCCTGGAGGACGCACAACGGTGTAGTTCAAATTTGTTTCCATGAGCATCCTCTCCATCAACGCCATGTCATGTATGAATCCGGCCATCATCAACGGCTTGAGCAAGTACTCCATAAGTTTAGGATTTCCTGGTTCTTTCTGAGTGCCCCATGATGTTACGCAGACTAATCTATCCACGTTACTCCTATACGGAGAAAATTACTTTTGTGAGTAAACTACCTCAAGCTGTGTACAAACGTAAATGTGATATGAAGCTTGTGTACAAAGGTGAATGTGATATGAAGCTTGTTGAAGTGCGCGAAAGCAAAAGAAGACAAGGAGAAAAAAAGAAAATGCAAATGCAACGACTAGTTTTCGCGCTTGTTTTTCGGGTCACTCGCAATATTTGTTCAACGTCCCGCGTGCATCCGTAACTCGATGGTGTGCGATGTAGTGTTAACCATTTGTTTTATGACATAACATCGATACATTGAAGCAAAAGAGTTCCCTCTACTTGAACAAATCATTCGTAACTAGACAAAACAAGTGCGCGAAACTAGTCATGTAGTATCATTTTTCTCACTCACGTCAGCAGCCTACACCTACCCATGGGCAAAGAGTAGACTCTGACTTGACCGATCAGAGCGCGCGCTTTTGTGGAGGGTGATTACCGCATTACTCCTAAACCACTTCTCACCTCCACACACTCGTGAGTGATGCTTTGGCCTTTAAGAAGCGCATTAAACGCTAGGTCGTAAGGTTCGGGTTCGCTCTTTTTTCGGGAGCTCTCGTGGAAGGTTGCTATGTGATGCAGCATGTAGTATCATTTTCTCACTGATGTCCCAAACTCACCTGTTGTATAGATGGATAATTTTAAACCATTCTTTATGAGAACCCACAATCTGTTTACACTCTAAAAAGTAAACTTACCTCTCCATCGCTGCTGATATTGACTTCATTGACTCTGAGTACAAAGTTGTGTGCTTAAAGACACTTGTTCCATGTGCACCAAGGCAAGATAATACAGCGTCTTTGTCTTGAAGAATGGGATTTAGTGACTCAGAGTCAAACACGTCTCCTTTTATGACTTCCAACTTTTCATGTCTGTGTAATAAAATCCGCTAGGTAATTATCATTGCTCAGAAGCGAAATAGGTCTTACGTTGTGCAGATTAAAAAGGTGAGAACCATTTGCCTTAAACTACTTCAGAATTCCTTCTCCATCAAGAGAATATAAGGCCTTATGTGTAAGGGATTTCTCGTTCATCAGTAACCAAATGAACCAGTTTTCCACGCTGATATGGACGATCAAAGAAGCAAATAATTACTATAGCTACGACATTAACAATAACTGTAAAGGGCTATTTAAAAACTTTTATACATTAAAAAATAATAATAATTTCGTGAAGGGGAATTAGTTGATAAGGCAATCGTGAAAATTGCCAAAATAGCGAGTGGAAGATCTAAGACACCGAATCCTTTGAAAACACTTGAAGGTACCTTTATTTAATCAGCGAAGAACACTACTAAGTTTTTTTTTTTCTTCGCATTACGCTTTTATTCTATTTACCTCTCATACGGTACTTGCGTGATATAAGAGCTGGCGTGACCTTGGTCACGCACTTTTAATGCAAATGTAACCTATCCTATTTTCTTTCACAAAGTGGAGGGAAGTTATCACAAAGGAAAAATACAAAACGAGCGAGTGCCATTATCACGTGCAGTTTCCGATAGATGCTTTAAGTTCAGATCCAACTAACTCTGGAACAAAGAAACATTTGTTCAAGTCGCTTTCGTACACTGTCTTAAAAATCATTTGTGTGCTGTACAATTAATAGTTTCCATTACGATTAAATTTTATTCAATCGTTTATATTCGACCAGCTTTGCAAGTGATGTCCGCTGTAAATTTAAAAAATTTGAGAAATATGATGGTAGATGAGTCACTTAACTGCCCAGGTTCTCAAAGGTTCAACTCGAACGTTCGCACGTTCGCCCGTCACGCTACAATAAGAGAGCGAGACTTTAGTGAAAACAATTAAGAGTCCATATACTCACCTGATGTCAAATTTGTCCGGACTCCTTACAACAGCGGAAACCAAGTGACCTTTATTCAATGCTTGTTGTACCAAATGACGTCCAGTTGGCCCTGACGCCCCAAAAATCACCAGCTTGGGAAAGAGTAGTTCGGCCGCCATGATAAACCGGTTAGGGTGTTTACATTTTGATTCCTACGTTGTGAAAGACCAAACAGTGTGTCGCAAGAAGGTAGCTTACCGCATTTGCTCTAATCCGAGTGTAAAAAAGGATATTCTTTTGATGTTCAACGCTATCGACTTAAGGAGAAAACAAAAATTTTATGGGACAGCCTGAAACTTGAACTTTTGCCTTATTTGCTTCGGACTCGTTTTGAATGCAAAAATCTCACAGCAACGTCAATCTTGGAAACCAGTTCAAGTTTCGAAGGATAAAGAGCAGACAATTTGTGGTGATCTCTGAATTGCTAACTATTGAGCCTCACCCAGAAATACGTGACTGTTTGAGAGAGATGGGCTCACATCCACAAGACCTGAGAGTTCTCTGCAATTCATTTAAGTTTACCAGAATCTCTGAGAATTTTTCCCTCTCTTTTTTATTTTCCCCACTCACACGAAGCTGGAGAGTGGGAGTCACTAAGTATCAAGTATCTTAAAAAAATGTCCAAACTAATCTTAAGCTAGTTAAACTTTAAGGCCCAGGTGAGATTCCATTTCTCATTACAGGTAAAAGTTCACTATGAATAATTCTGGTTGCAGCCGGATTCAAACTAGTAACATTAAAGTAAGTATCATCTCTTATCTCTTTTTCCACACTTGACATCTTGCGCATCTTATGGAAAGCTTCCCTTACCGACCATGATCCGGAAGGGACGTTTCACGCTCCAACCATGATCTGCTACGTGTGTCGACAGATAAAACAATGAATTAATAAATATAAATCGACGCCGCTTGAACTCTGGAATTTTTTAACCCCCTCCCAGGTTCTTTTTATCACGTTATTTGTGTATCCATGTATAGTCAATTTGTTTGTCCATTTATGATTTGTTTGCATATCATGTTTATTTCTGCCGGTGTCTGTTTACTTGCAAGACCGATCACCGCGGGAAAAAGGAAATTAATTTTGATCTTACACTGAAGGCGTTCATATGTACTTAAGGTGAATAAGTTGCGTCGCAGGTGTGCTGTGAAATTATCGAGAAATACAGATTTAATCTGCTCCTTGTGCCTATACTTCACCTGTGACATCAAATTTGCTAAGTCATTTGAATACATTCATTCAACCGATACAGAAGAATGAGAAGTTTTCTCACTAAAGAAGATAAAGAAAACATGTCTGCGGAAATGTTGCCTAAGTACCTTATGTAGACTTTCTTCCTGTAAGTGCGTGATCACTGGCAATTATTTAAGCGCACAGGAAGAGATAGAGGGACAAAGTACGAAAACGGATAAGTCTTCCTGCTGTTCTTTTGCTTTGCGTTGACATCACACCCGCCCTTATGCAGTTAATTAGAACCTAGTGCATACTGCATAACACTAACAATTGGCTCATCAGGAGGAAACCTTTCTTAATTGCTACTTTTCATCAATACTGGTCGTCAAGAAGCCGGGGGACATAGCTGCTAAACTGATCTGATCGTGCATCTTTGTGGCCCTCATTCATCAGCTAGCTTAGTCATATCTTTTTTGAGACCTCCTCTGACACTTCTCTAGCTCAAGTTACATTTGTTTTCCAAAAATGAAGTAACATGATTAGCACAAGAATTTAGCAATTTGATACCTTTGGTTGATTCTCTTTATTCTCAAGTGCACAATAAACTTTATAAAGGCACCCCAACCTTCCGCTTTGATCAGATAAACTGGAGGTATTCGAACGATAAACTCTACTTAAGTTTTGCCTTGCTCGTAATCATGTTGAATCCGTTCGTGTCCCTTTTTGTAATGCATCTCTTCATTCTGAGTTTGACTGTGTCTGGAAGAGGAATGGCTCATAAAAACCGTTTAGAGAAAACTTCGTGTTCTGAAGAGACGAAAAACTCGCCTGAAACGAAGGGTCCAAAGAAGCACTTTAAGAGTCTAATTCAAGAAGGATGTAAGTTAAACGATGTATTTCCTCTTGCTCTATTTTTTGAATGTATTCAGTTACTGATGCGATGAGGAAACGTTATCATAAACTTACAGGTTTTTTAAATGATCGATAAACTTAAAAATCTAATGGTTTATTTGCTCTCAGCTCTCAACTTTACGTGGATTATAATTTTACGAAGGAAAGCAGATGTTTGCAATCTTAATAGAGTACAGACAATTTTTATTTATAGCGACTTGATCTGCATAGCCCTAAAGCCCAAAGACCAAAAGGGAAAAGTCTTGAAAATGAAAATTCCTTAATTTCACTTTTATCTTGTTTTAGCTGCTGATCAGCACAATGAAGTCCAAATTGAACCATTTTCAAGCAAGGAAACAGAACGCAAACTTCTTCCAGAGAAGAAAGAAGATGAAGCTGATGCTTGCCGAAGGGTGCCAATGTATGTGAGCTTTTCGAATCTTAAAAATAGTACCCTATTTGATCTAGTCATTGCACCTTCGGGGTTCAATGCTTTTAAGTGTGTGGGGAAGTGCAAACCTAACAATTATTCACTGATGATGGCAATCCTGAACTCAAAGAACAAGAGGTACCCAACCGATGGCGGCAGGTCCTGTTGCGTCCCAATAAAGTGGCGGTCAGTCTCTCTATTGGTGTTTCAGCAGGATAAGGTTTTATTGAGGAAATTTGATAATATGATTGTTCAGGAATGCGGGTGTATGTGAAACGTTTTGGTCCTTACGATTAACTGTTAAGATTTTTGTGTAGTGTCGGGCAAACTTTAAACGGTGGACACCTTTACGCTTGATAAGGCCACCTTCATGTAATTTGCGAAAGTTTTCGTTTAGCGAAGGAACTGTTACCAATATAAACAATGCTGATTAACAATTGTAATTTTTTTTAAAAACTTATGGGATGTTAGCGTATTGTGAACATCCAGTACAATTCTTCATTGTTGTGATGCAGATTACAGTAATAAAAGTTTGCCACTTCATCGAGATGTTTCAGTGTAAAAGGATTTCATGTGACTGAGAAGCTTCCCAATTCAAAGCAAATCCTGTATAAGGACATCCGCCGGACAGTTGTCAGATTCCTTAGGGATAAATTCCCCAGTTGAGCAGCAGTATTAGTAAGAGAGAGTACTTTCTCCTTAATCGTCTTTATTACTCTTGAAAATTTGTCACCAGCATTCCGAAAGTGATTTTACTGAAAGGTCTCTGGGTTTTTACATGCAAGATACGTTGCAGCTTCAGAAAACAAACGAAGTGAGAAAAAAAAACCATTGTCCACAGAAAAATTTTGCTTCACAGCTGAGCTTCAATCAGTTAAGGTTCTCAGAAAACAAAAGCATTAAAAAAAAGAAGTGCCTAATAGTTGTGTAGAATCCTCTCTTTGGCCGAGCGGTTTTCCTCAGGGATTTAAATCTCGAGGGTATAAGAATAACATATGGAGAGAAGGCCATCGCAAAACGGTGATATTTTCTCAGAGTGGGTGTTTTGATGACATGCAAGTTTCTTGTGTTAAGCAGTCATAAGGGTCCTGAAGGTAAGGCGATCGGTAACGATGGAACAAAGTCTAGGAAAAAAGTACGTAAAAATGTTCATCGACATCACAGTTGTTGGTAATAGTTCAGACATTTCAGTATCTAAAGGCATTTTATTCGAAATGAAAATATCAGTGAAATACCCCTTGCAGATAAGAGTATTTTCTCTCGGACTAAGAGAGCTTATAGTATCCAAGAGTATGTGGTGCAAGACAATTAGGAAGCAACCTGCTGTGCTAGAATTCTATGATTAAGAAAACTCTCATACTTACGGTCTTTCAGTATTTGTTTCTTCTAAGGAAATAAGGACGGTCTTAATGAACACAGTTTGCTTGGCACAAAGACACTTAATCTATAGCATAGTTACATGCAATGTGCTCAGTCAAACCGAAAGTCTATCCAAGGAACAGAAGGCCATTTTTTTTTCCAGCGAAAGCTATTATTAGACGAAGATTCGCATGCTCTCAATTCAGTTTCGAATTACCTAAAAACGAAAAAACTTCACATCAAATTTACTTATTTTATTTGATTCGCCGTAATTAAGAACGTTTCTCTGCACTGAACAACATACAGCTTCTGATAGGAGCAATGTATCCACTCTTACCTCAAGGACGAGCTTCTGAGAACTGTTTTGAGCTGAGTTGAAAACGTTAATTGGCCACCGTAAAGAGTAAAAAAGCTCGAGACGTCAGCTTTTTTACTCTTTACGGTGGCTAATTTACGTTTTTAACTCAGTTGTTAACACTAAATTACTGCTATACTCTCCCACCGACGCAGCACTACAGTTTCTTAAGAAACGTACCCCCTTTATTCACCTGTTGTTTTGTGTTTGCCTCAGTAATTTTTTTACAAACTACTGAAAATCTTTCAGCGTTTTCTGGTTTTTTGATCAGTGAAGGACACCAAACCAAAACACATAATGCCTGCGGGGAAAAAATGACGGACGTTAAAGTCAGCTTTTTTTGAGTTATAGAAGTGATAATTGGTAATGAACAAGTAAGTATTGATAAACCCACGGAACAAGAAAAGTTTAAAACGCTACGCGATAATCAACAGGGTTAGAAGAGTGGATATATCGAGTTTCCATGAGCAGATGATCGTGAAACCACTGAACCAAACTTGCGAAATAGCTGAGTAAGAGACAAATTGCTTAGAACGAGGCTGGTAGATTAAACTCTCTGTAATAATTCTACTGGAGGTAATAACCCTTCTATATACAAGGGGTGAAATTTAATTCCTAATTCCTCATGAAGAAGTTGGAAAAATAAATCGGAGTTTTCGCTCTTCAGAATCAATTCTTAGTTACTACGAGTAATCAAGACTTTATTTTCTTGGAAGAGAATCACTTAATTATCATAGTTGTTTAACCCACTGACTCGCTGCCGAATGTAAAATACATGCAGTACCCAATACAAAAAACAAAACGTCAATCGATCATGAGCATAGTCAACATTGAGTTATCGAGTGAAAAAAAATATATATGTGTATGTAATATTATACAATAGAGACAAAATTTCGACTGAGAACTGTTTGGTAGAGAAGTTAGTTCTCTACAGTAAACCGGCAATAACTCGTCTAAGCTAATGGTCTTTAAAGTATTATTTGGGATGTTGTGTCTTGTATTTAGTTTTATCTATCCTTTAGTCATGAGCTTCAATACCTATCGGGAAAATGCAAACTATAAAGCAAAATTTTCATAAGCTCATCAGCTATTCGCTGATGAAGTGCCCTTAAAGACTCTAACTGTAGCTGATATCTAAAGCTATACACAAACCCGACTTTTTTATCGCAGTGGTTCGATTCGCGCCTGATGTAATTCTTACCTTCAAATTTCTCTGTTGAAAGAAGACTTTACACTTATAATTAAGATTAAATCGTTAACCTCTCGTCTAATTCAGCAGCAGTAGCATTTAAATCAGTATGTTTCAAGTCATACGAATGTGAGCACTTGAAAAGCTAACAGACGAAACGAATCAATGGAACATGATAGGTAAATAACCTTCCTTTTAATCTGTTCTTGAGTTTCAATCAATTGAAAGTTCCTGCCATACAACAAAAATGTTTGTGTGGAAACAGAAAAAGACAACCTGATGAAAGTGCGGATCTTAGGTCAACTTCCTCAAAGAAGAGGTGTTGATTCTGTTTAGGGGGTTATAATTCCCTTGTTTACTGAAAGGTGAGATATCTCTTTGGGAGGTAAGATTTTTTTGAGCTTAGAGGAGATGATTGCCCTCTGGAGAGGGTTGTGAAATCTCAGCGCATAGAATTGATAACGTCCTTACGTGGTTAATTTACTTTGTGTTTAGCAGTAATTAAGAGTCCGTGGGGTTACACGAAACACAGCTACAAAAACAGGCAAAAGTACACAGAATGTTGTTTACTTTGTTGCTGTAACGATCGGGTTATGAACTTTAATTGTTGGGTAATAAGTGAAAAATAACAATAACATGCATACCAGGAAAGCAATTTACTTAGCAAGAGAAAATGGGAGAACGCTTCCTTTATTTTCATTTGATCTTTGTGAATGAACGATTAATGAGGCGGATATCCTGTTCACGTAAAAGCCTAATTAAGGGGGGCGGGGAGGGTGGGGAGGGGTAGCCTAGTGCAGTATCTGTTAGGATCTTCAGCGAGTGGGTACGTTTATTTTCTGTTAACCCCTTAACTAATAAGATCTTATTGTTAATTCTCCCCCAGGCTGCTACACATTTCCTTGTAAATAAGTTACGAGAATTTGGTGTCAGATCAAGGTAACAACTTCGATCTGATAAGTTTGAATATTCCCATGACCTGTTTGCTGGATAAATTTAAGTTATTATAGGGAGAAGTTAGTTTTCAATCACTTCTGGGAGTTAAGGGGGTTAATTCACTCACATCAGTTTCTAAACCTTAGATACGTTATGGTGTAATTTTATCAGGGATTTTGTTCGTCAGTTTCAGTCATATATCAAACATTGCCGTACCTAATAAAAAGGAAATAAATAAGGTATAAAACCGAAAAAAAGGCAAATAAATTTTAGACCAAAGATTAATTGGAACCTCATCGTACACATCTTATACAACTTTACAACAACCTTATACACCTTTACAAAATGTTTCTCACTTTTATAACAAACAGTCTTGCTTTGCCCCTTTATTGTAATAATGGTCTTATTTTGACCATAGCTGTACTGTCTATTTTTTTAACTTTGGCCTTGACCCGTGCTACTTGATTGAATTAACAAGGAGTCTTCCATATAAGGGTATCAAATAATCAGTTAACGACACGAAATACCAGTCACTTCACGTGTCATGACTTGCTGCCTATGGCCACGCACTTTCTGTCCCATTCCAGGGTATTAATAAATCCTCTGCTTCGGACTCGTTGTTAATGCAAAAATCGCACAGCAACATCAATCTTGGAAACCAGTTCAAGTTTCGAAGGATAAATAGCAGACACTTTGTGGTGATCTCTGAATTACTAAATATCGAGCCTCACCCAGAAATACGTGACTGTCTGAGAGAGATGGGCTCAGATCCACAAGACCTGAGAGTTCTCTGCAATTCATTAAAGTTTTCAGCCGGATCTCTAATAATTTTTTCCCTCTTTTTTATTTTCCCCACACACATGAAGCTGGAGAGTGGGAGTCATTAAGTGCCAAGTACCTCAAAAAATGTCCAAATTGATCCTAAGTTAGTTAAACTATAAGCCCGAGATGAGATTCCAGTTCTCATTTAAGGTAAAAGTTCACAATGAATAATTTTGGTTGAAGCGGGATTCAAACGAGTCGCATAAAAGTAAGTATCATCTCTCATCTCGTTTCCTACACTCGATATCTTGCGCGTCGTATGGAAAGCTTCCCTTACCGACCATGCTCCGGAAGGGACGCTTTACGCTCCGACTATTGTCACGAATAGTACAGACACGTAACGTAGACTACGTGCAGGCTCTTTTCCATATCATGACCTGCCGCGTGAGTCGACAAATAAAACAATGAATTTAGAAATATAAATCGACGCTTGAACTCTGGGATTTTTTTTTTTTTTTTTTTTTTTTTTACATCTTCCCAGGTTCTTTTTATCACGTTATTAATGTATTTATGTATAGTTTATGTGTTTGTTCATTTATTATATGTTTGCACATCATGCTTTATTTTTGCCTGTGTCTGTTTACTTGCGAGACGGATCACGGTGGGAAAAACTAATTAATTGAAATCTTACACTGAAAGCGTTCTTATGTACTTAGGGTGAATAAGGCGCGTTGCAGGTGTGCTGTGAAATTAACGAGAAATATAGTGAAATATGACTCTTCTGCTCCTTGTGCCTAAACTTCACTTACAACATCAAATTTGCTGAGTCATTTGAATGCATTGATTCAACCGACCCAGCTATAATCAAAAGAATGTGAAGTTTTCTCACTAAAGAAGATAACGAAAATATGTCAGTGGAAATGTTTCCTAAGTACTTTGTGTAGACTT